GTGATTCAGCCAGTGAAATCAAAGCAAAGCAGATTTAATCTCATTATACTCCTGTTGACGTAACATCCCTGCTGCAGATTAACCATGGCTTGATGTTTTATTTTATTTAAAGGGTATGTTGTTGAATCTGGGGAAATTATATAGTTTCCCTTAATGGCTTTATCTCACTTGAGTGGTAAAACTGGATCTGGAATTAGAAAATATGAAGTTGGCTGATTATTTACATTTAAATATAAAAGAAATGTTCAAGGCCAGAGGTAAATGTAGTTTTCAAAACATTTAAAAGTGGTAAAACAGCGACATCTCGTGGCAGTTTTCAAGAACTGCACTGAAAATTTTTTATTTTCAGTCACAGCTGGAAATAATTAGTTGGCTAATATATAAAAAATAACTAATTTTTGGAGAGCCTTCATGTTTTCTGATGCTACCTCTGATATAAACCCTCAAAGTGGATTCATTAGAAACTAACAAAAATTTTGCTGTCGAAAAAGATGAACTAAATTTGGAAAATGATTAAATGTTTTAGATAAGCATTTTCTAATAGTGGTATACTTACTTTTTATTTAATCATCTAACAATGTATTTCACTAGTTGGATAGAATTAAATTTAATCGACTAAAATGTTTAAAATCTAATTGTAATTGTATTTTAGTCACATTAAGCTGAAACTGTCAATTTATACATAATTTAACTTCAAATAAACTAATCAGACTGCTGAAAAAAAAACAATTATATAAATTAAAGGTTGAAATGGAAATAATTTGAGTTAGTGCAGAAATGTTGACATATTTGAGCCTTCAAGATCCAAAATCAAAATCAGATGCAAAGTTTTTTTTAGAACAGATTTAAAAACTAATCTTTTGAACAAGAAATCAATTTTCTGACTGATTTTATTCATACAAAAACATCTGGAGGTGACCGACCACAGGACTTATTTACAAGTGTGTTATCTACAAAAAAGAACTTGAAATTTGGTTTCCCATCCAAGACAGGAAGCGAAAATTTAAGAACAGACCAAGAAATGCTGGAATTTAAACCGGGTGACATCGGGACTTGAACCAGCCGCTGAATCTTTCCTCACAGAGAGAAAATCACTCGACAACCCGGAAGAGTCCTTCAGTCACTCAGTTTGAGTCCCAGTCTCCACTTCCTCGTTTCACTGTGATGAAGACGATTTAGGAAGCCTCTTCGTCGATCTTCGGGGCCAGGTAGTACTTGATGTGTCCCATATCAGCGATCTTATACTCGACCACTGAGGAAAGAGGAAGGAAGTCACATTTGGTCCAAGAAAGAAACATTTACTGATGCGATTAATCAGAGTAATGGTGATTAACTCAGTACTGAGATAATCGTCAAGTGCTTTATCAATTGATTAACTGCTGAGTTGGGTACATTTACTCAACTACATTTACTTGAGTGTTTTTACTACGCTGTACTTTTTACTTTTACTTATTGTATTATGAAGTATCTCTGCTCTTGAGTAAAATTCTTCTTCGCTGCTTATCTGAATTAGTAATTTTTAAAATGTCAAAATTTCCACCTAACTTCATATTTTGGTCCTCTAAAACTGAAACAGTATAGTTTCAGATTCACTCTGTTCCAATTCTGTAAAAACTCCTATAAACCACATTTTTTATTCAATTATTAATTGGTTTAAAAGAAACAAAACAGGTCATGGTCTTTATGTTAAGTGATGCAGGAATGGTTGAGCTTTTCACACATTAGAAGTACGTCTCTATTTGCTGACAGATGTTCTGCTACAAGTAATTAAATGTAAACTAAAGTAAAAGCTGCGTTGCTGCATTTTGAAAATATATATTCGTTTTTGTATTTTAAAAAATCAATATATCTGTATGTTTTATGCATTTATTATGTTTTATGAAATCAGATCATTTAGTTAAATAAAAAAATCAGCAAAACCTGCCTTTTTAAAATTAATACAATATTTATGAAAAATATTGTAGTTTTATGATTTTTAATATTTCAAAGTGTTAAACATCAGGGCATTTTGAATCTTGTTACATTTATTGTCTCAAAGTAAAGTTTCCTGTCTGGAAAGACGGCTGAGTCATCACTGTAATCAATCTGCCTAAAGTTATGAATAAAGCTGATTGATTGGCTTACCGAGGGGAATGTCAGCAGACATACTGAGGGTGACGGTTTTGGACAGCGGCGTGGCCTTTGTGAAGAAGTTCAGGTAATTTAGGGCGAAGATCAGCTGGACCGGCTCATTCATCTCAATTGTGACCTTGACAGGAAAAATAAAAAAGTCAATAAATTAGATTTAATAAACTACACCAAACCAAACTGATCAGAATGAAGCCACGTTTTGTCATCACTCACAGCCTCGTCCTCTTTGTCCACATTGCTGGTCTGGGACAGCTTGATGTTTCCGGTTCCCAGCTCTCCGGAGGCGGAGAACTTCACGCCGTCCTTGGCGCAGGAGATCATGACGGCGTCGCCGATCTGGGACAGGTCGCGGCAGATACGAGCAAACTCTCCAGAGGGCATCTTCACCACACAGCTGTACTCCTGCTCCTGTGAGGGGAGCATCGGGAAAATAAAATGATTTTTATAGAGAATAAACCCCTTAAACATTTAAATATGGAAAAAATTCAAACTGGGTCTGCAATTAATTATTTTAGCAATCGATTAGTCAAAAACATAATTAAAATGGAGATGTTTTAATCCAACCACTTTTTTAAAACAATATTAGAAATACATTAAAAGATGCACATAAATAATTTAATGAATATTTTATTGCCTAAAATGCAACAACAGCAACACTTTAGTAAATCTGAAATAGTTAAAGGTGTTCTGGCTAAACCATATTTATAAACAAATGTGTATTTTTTTTCCCATCTTCGAAGCAAAATCTAAATATTTTTACACAGGTTTCACTTAATTAATGACTATTAACTTTTTTCCAGTTAATGGTCATTTTTAGTCAAAAATATTCAAGTTAATGCAGTCAGTTCGTTGATTAATCTGTGTATTAGTTACTTACAGGAATACCAAGCTGCTCAACATCCAGGTCCATCAGCTTCATCTCATAATCTGAGACTTTCTCCTGATCTGCAAACATTAAAAGAGGCAACAACATCCTAATTAACATTGAATCGTCTTTATTTTCTTTATTGATGACTAAGAGGAGAAAAAGCAGTGCAATTTCTACAATTACACAACCTTATATCCCAGTAAACACTTACTGAGGGTTTCGAACACAAGAGCAAGCGTGTCTGCGTTATCTTCTGCTCTGAGGGTGATGATGTCCTCGTTCCCTGCACACTTCAGGATCTTTGACATGCTGAAAGAAAGAAGAGACAGTAAAGTTTGGGACGGTACAAACCAAAACGGGTTAAACCACAAGATCAGAACTCAGTTAAGATTCGTTGACAAGAGCAACAATTAAAGTTGGAAGTAATAACATTCTTATAAATCAATTTTCACATACAAGAAAGAAACTGTTACATATGTTATTTATTAAGCTACATTCTTTCAAAAAATATGTCTTGTTATCATCCAGCTATTACTATAAGTGGCTAAATAAATAGAAATATTTGTTTATCGCTGTATTTTAACTCCAAGAAAGTGACAGAATTGAGCTACAAGCGGTAGTGACGTAAGCGGAAGTACAGATTCCCGGGTTTAACAATTCCCGCCAACCCACCCGGCAAACAATTTGGCGCTCAACAGAGAGGACTCTGCGTGATCAATGACCGCATCTAAATGTGTTTTTTGACGAAACATACAAGAGTTGTCTTGAATAAATAACCAACACAAACTGCCTGAACATGTGATTTTTAAGAGTGCAGCAGGGAAACATGCCCGGGCAAATCCGCCAAGATGGCTTCCGTCTTTGTGAAATTAACACTGCGCAGTTCAATATACTCCAAAAAAACAAGAAACAGTTGATGCGAAGATGTGGCGATGTTTAAGTTATTGGTAGAAACAAAGTCTCATTTATTTGTCACTTCGTCGCGCAGTTTTCTATCCAAAAGTACCGATTTATGTCAACACAAAGGGTACGTTCTCTAAATTAGTATTAAAACGTGTTAAAGTTGGCCTCACCTACTGAGGTTGACCCCCATCGCCAAGTTTCTGTCGCAGCGGTAAGAGTCGAAGCCATCATGCCGCAGGGTGAGCTGCACCAGGGAGACGTGAGACGAGTCCATGCTCTGGAGGGAGATGCCGGACGAGCTGACGTCCCAACAGGCCTCTGTGATCAAATCTTTCAGCGCCTCCAGAACCTTCTTCAGGATGGAGCCCTGGACCAAGCGAGCCTCGAACATGTTTGCTGTGGAGTATTTACGTCTGCGTAGACCGAAGAGAAAAACGTAATTTTCCGCCTTAAAAGCGTCACTCCGTGGAGACAGAAGCAAGAGCGTAGAGTTATAAATAAGCGACAGGGAAAGAAAAAACTCTCGCTTTTCAGTCTTTGTGTTGCTCACTGACTCTGACTCTACTCAGGCGACTCCGACAGCAGGCTGAGAAGTTTGAGCTGGAAGCGCGCGCTAACGCGAGTTTTATCATTCTCATACTACGTCATTTCCGTGCGTATATACGTACCGCCCAACCGCTAAAGAATGCGAACAGATTCCAGCCATATTGGAGAGGGCACCTAATACATTTAACTGTAAGCAAGAAGTCGGTAATAACTTCTTACGTTTGCTCAATTTAGTTTATACGAGTACATTTTTTTGTAAGAAATAACATTTAGGAGTAGCTTTGCCACATCATACCTTTTTACTTTTTCTTCAGTAATATTAATTACGAAGTAAAGTTAATCTTGAGTAACATTTCTGCATACTCTACCAACTGCGAGTGTTAGGAACACTAAACTCATGAATTGATTTAAACATATATAAATTAATATTTAAAACAGTTTATTAAAACATTTTTGATGGACGATGTTCTTTAAGAAAATTAATTTAATTTGGATTTTATTACACCGGAACTGACGTCATTGTCTATGCTCACTCTCATTGGGTTAGGAAAGAATTCGCCCGTTTCCTGGACAACGAAACGCTAAGCAGCCGAACTGACGGAAAAGACGGAATGCAACTACCTTAACTTCAGAAAGTTCACAGCACGTTCACAGATAAAACTCGTTTTAATTACGGGTTTTCTTGTAGTCATGTATAAAAGAAGTTAGGAGACCTGGGAAATACAAAAAACTGCAAACATGGTAACCCTTTGTTAGATCATTGAACCTGTGGTCGGGCTTTGTTGATTTTTTTTCAATGTTCGATGTTTGTTGCAAAAGCTTTGGCGTCTGTCTGTTCGTTTCATTAAAACAGAGTCGATTCGGGATGATGAGGCACCACCGTTTCCTGGAGCAGGAAACTAACAGGACAGACGAGGTCAAGCGGCTATACCGGGAAAAGGGGCTGAAGGCCCGCCTGGATGTGGAGGAGACGGTCGACAGGAGGAGACACATGCGGGAAATGCGACAGCAGCTCAAGGAGCGGCAGATAGAGGAAGGTCTAATCAAGGTTGGAGTCAGCTTTAGACTTCCTAAAGTTCAGCCTTGTTTCTATGATCTCACTTGAATATATTCGCCAAAAATAAAAATAAAAACTAAAAGTTTTTATGAAGTATTTTATAAACGATAAATCCGTTTTTAAATGTGTCCAGTCACATGCAACGAATGCGCAGTTGCTAAGCAACTGAGAAAAGTGTACTTTAAAATTGTAATTTGCTCCTATTGTCATCTTTGAATCAGAATAAAAGTTATTGCCATTGCGCACAAAGAAAGCACTGAATTTAAAATATCAAGTCAAATAATTAGATAACATAAATACATTTTGGCAAGAGTTTTTTTTTTTAAAGTCAGCTTTAGATTACTTTTAAGAATAAGCTAAAATGATCTTTGTAAGATAATAAAAACCTTGTTATGAAACAAAACTGTATGACCAGCTGCTAAGCAGACAGAAAGCTGACTGGCTGATGGATGGAGGATGCATGGAAACAACTGCATCTCCAGGATAACAGGATTTACAGCTGAATGGAAAAGACTGCTGTGTTTTTGTTTTTGACTGTGTCTCTGAAATCCACCAGACACATAAAGGGTCCTGACAGTTAAAATCGTTCTGTTTTAATCTAAAATCTAAACATGGAAGAGATTTTCTGCAAGCCACAGATTTATTTGGGTAAAACCCAGGATCGACAAAAATATATAAAAATGTAGTTGATGAAAATACCAGTGAACTCAACAAATGTTACAACATTTAAAAAAATCTAAACATTTTTGACATAAAGTGCTATTTCCTTCAGTAAAACAAGCTTCACAGATGAGCGCACAAAGGTAAATGTTTATGAAACAAGACTGGAAATGTTTTGTTGAATGAAGTCACAAATGACGGAAAATATTTTCAAAAAGCATATTTTATTTCAGTCATCGCTTCTGTGAGTATTAAGAATTTTTGTTTAACTTCGAGAATACGGTCATAATTTTAGCAGATTAAAGAAGAACATCTTAAAATTATGAGAAAAAAGTTTTAATGAGAAAAAGCTTGTTATTTTATGTATTGAAGTTCTCATAAAATTACTATTTCATCCTCCTAATATTATGGTATTATTTATCACAAAAATGGAAGCTGTGAAACAAAGATGGCCGCTGCGGGTGTGCTGACATCACACCCACAAACAAAACTTTTGATAAAAATTGATGAATCACCCAGCCAACATGAAGCATAAAATATTCACATATACTGAACTGACTGCTTCACAACTTTCACATGCAAACTTTCATGACACTCAGATACAGGGCAACAAAATAAAATAATCTGGAGATGAAAATCCAAACATTGCTTTAAAAACAGTTTTCCATGACCTCTGCTCTCCCTAATGCAGATTATTGCTGACTAAATAATTGCTGACCTTCTAGGCTGAGGAGGACAGAATAAACAGGGAAAAACAACGGGAGCAGGAGGAGAGGATATCTCAAGAGCTGGCCCGCATCGCCCATGAGAAGCAAAAAGATGAGAAAATGAGGCAGCAGGTTAGAGCAAACAGGTACGCTCTCCTTATTACTTCCACACTAGGTTTCAAGTGTATCCTGAGTTATTAATTACAGTAACAGTACAGTAACATTGTTTTTTTCCTCTTTTAATGGTTAGCCTGGAGATCAGGGAGCTGGAATCCAAGCTGCTGGCTGCGTATGTGAGCAAGGAGAGAGATGCTCAGTTAGCTGAGAGGGAAGCGATGAGACGTCAGAACGCTGTGGGTCCGATTCCAGGCGTTTTCTGTCTCATGAAAGCTGAGATTCTTTAAAATACTCTCAGTTAAAGTTAGGGCTGGACAATATGGCTGAAAATATATCACGATATAAGAGTTTCATATCAGCCAATATATATAATTATTGATTAGTTTGTTGCTTTAAATATCTGAAGTACTGCCACAGTTTTTTTCTCTACGATGTGTTTTGTTTTTAAGCTGTTATGAGGAATGGTGGTAAAACCTGAAACTGCTGCTGCACAAGTTACTCTGCAGGTTGTTGCTAGGTAACCCAAGAGTGAGTGAGTGAGTTGATGCTATAAATCATGCTGACCGTCAACCTCCCGTGCTCAGCCATGAGAGGTTGAGCAGCTAAAGCCTTTCCTCTGCCAAGTCTCCCAGAATGCTGTGCGGTTCAGAGTTCAGTGACATTATTGAACATATTTTCTTACCCAGTCTAAACTGTTATTGATTTATTGTCCAGCCCTAGTTAAAATTATTTAGTTTTGTCTTTGAATGACAAAACAAAACATTTGCATGACAGAAGAAAAATCTTCCTAAATCAATAATGATCAGTACCGGAGCTGACTGTGAAGTCGTGTTTTCTATGACTTGATAGCTGGTTGAGGCAGAGTTGGCTGAAGCACTGAAGAAAGAACGTGAAGAAGCAGCCGCTGAGCTCCGGAAGCAGGAGGAGAAGCAGCATCAGGACATGGTTCAGCTCAAGAAAGAGCTGGATGCGCAGGTCATGGAGAGGGAGATCAAGAGACAGGAGGCGTACGAGCAGTTCCTCAAGGAAAAGCTCATGGTGGACGAGATCATCAAGAAAATATACGAAGAGGAGCAGATGTGAGTCTGCAAAATTCACTCTGCACATTTTTATTCTTGCATTTGGGCCTTAACTGCTTCTAAAAACAGCCATTTTTTTCAGCGATAAGTAAATGTGTTTTAGTCTATGGAAAACGAGACATTTCAAACCCCTCCCGATTAGCAACGCCAGCAGAACTCCACACTGTTTTGTCAGCTTTTTGTTTTACCGCGTTTTGTAAATGTCTGCTTTTTTTTCTTAGTTACCGTTCAGAAAAGATGTTTGTATAATTGCGCATCTGCTTGAAGCCTTTTCTTTGAGTTGGGGGTGTGGCCAGCAGCAGCTTATTTGGACTGTCTGAGAAAAAATTTGTGTAAAAAATTTTAATATTTCATTTTTGTCACAATTCTGACTTAATCTCTTTAATCTCCTGAGAGAAATCTTGTTTTTTATACTCATAGATCTAGCCAATTCAAGCAACTTTAATGGGTCCACCTTAATAAATGAGATATTTATCAGTGTTTCTATGAAGTGTTTTTGATTTGAGATGAAATGTTTCCGTCAAAGGGAGAGACAGCTAAAGCTGGAGAAGATCCAAGCCACCAACCAGCAAATTGAGGAGTTCAAACAGGAGCAGGCGAAGTGGAAGCTCCTGGAGCAGGAGAAGATCGAGGCGGAAAACAGACGCATCATGGAGTACGTAAAGCAGCAGCAGGATGCGGAAGAGTCCAGAAAAATTCAGATGAAAGAACGGGAAGAAGCAAAGGAACAGATCCAGAAAATGGTAACAAAAAAGCCCTTCTACCTGCTGATATTATTAATGTCCATTGATTCATGGAAAACGCCTTTAACCTGCTGTTCCCATCTGACGTCCAGCTGTGTGAGAAGATGGAAAAGGACCGGAAGCAGCGTGACGACTTCGAAGCCGTCCGTCAGGAGCTTTACTTGGAGGAACAAGAGGAGGCAGAGAGAAAGAGAGACATTGTGAGAATCAAGCAGAAAACAAACGTTTCATAATTATAGCCGTCGTGTTAAATATATTATTAATCCGCTCTGTTAGGAAGCGATGGAAAAGAGGATCAGGCAGAAGCTGATGGCGCAGCAGAGCTTCCAGGAGCACAAGGCCTTCAAAGAGAAACAGAAGCAGCAACAGAAAAAGGAGGAGCTGGCCTTCAGGGAAGCCATGATGGCCAAGTTCGCAGAGGACGATCGGATCGAGCAGATGAACGCCCGGAAGCGGCGCATGAAGCAGCTGGAGCACAGACACGAGGTGGAGAGGCTGATAGAGGACAACAGACGACGGCGAGAGGCTGAAGAGGTACGGATCACAACCTGGCAGTTACATCAGTAACAAGACAGCAGAGAGCATTTCCTGCTGTTCTGACTGAAGAACATGTGCTGTGTTTTATTAAAACCATTTTCTATCTCACCAGGAACAGGAAGCTAGAGCCAGAGCAGCTGAGCAGCAAGAAGAGGCGGTGATTAAGAGGATCATAGAAGAAGAAAGAGTGAAGCTCCTGAAGGAACATGCACTAAAACTCCTAGGAAACTTTCCCAAGGTTTGTGTAAAAGAATCTGAAATGTACAACACATGTAAGAGACATTGTAGATAAAGAAAAAGAGGAGTACATTTCTGCCAAAGTACTGAAATTTTGAGGTATCAGAAATTTTCTAGAAAAAGCAAGGAAATTTCTGAGCTCCAAAAGTTTCAAATTTGCGAGAATTTTTTTTTTTATTATTCTGAGAAATTCTTTGCAGAAATATAAAAAAATTTCTGAGCACCCAAACTTTGGAGTTTCAAGTGGAAAAAAAAAACTTTTCAGAAATTTCTGAGATCAATGTCAAAATCTTAGATTTTTTTCTTGCAAATTTACTGTTATTTTTGTCTACACTGGCTTTCATAACCCATCTTCACAGTTATCATTTAAAGTGTGTATGTATAAGACCATCAGTAAACTGTGGCTGTTTGCAGGACTTTCTCCGTAAAGACGACCTGGAACACTTCGACGAAGACTTCAGGAAGTATTTTGAACCTCGTCGGACTGATGAACCTTTGTTTCCAGCCTGAGTAGTTTCTCCTCCACTTGGCCTCTAGGGGGCAGAGTAAGGGTGCTGTGAATGTGTTGCAGATTGTTTATTTTAATGATTTCTCAGCACAAGACACACGTTTGTTCAAATTGTTTATAAGTTTACTTATTAAAATGTGCAGCATTGTCTTTAATGTAATTTTGATTTAGGAACTTAATGAACATTTATAGATCTTTTCTGTTTTCAAACATAAAATCTTTTCCACACAGATGAACGCCATAAATTAAAGCATGTTGACCTTTACTAGTTGAAAACGTCAAGTTGCTTCTTCAAACCCTCATTTTGTTTTCAGAAAGTTGGTTTTCGTCAGTCTACAGGAAGTTTTGGTTGTTGATTTATAAAATAATTGTGAATGAATCTCTTGTAATGTAAATCAAATTAGGTTTATGCATCATTTTGTGCTCTGGAATCATAAATTGGAGTTTGAGTTGTTCAAACTTCACCAAAACAATATAAAAACATTCATAGAAGAGTGATGATAGTTTGTATTTACTGTACCATGTCAATATTTTGATGGTAAGTTTGTACCAACTTTATTCATCCACAGTGTTCAGTTTTGCAGCTCAACATGATTGCAGTGAATTTTATTTGAAGGGAATTGGAGAAAAAAAAATAATTACTTCTACAACATTTATAATTGTTTTGTGACTTCACATTAATGCTCCACTTTGAGTTTGTTCACCATAAAAACAGTTTGTCGTGACATGGAGCATGGATACATTTACAAGGCACACTGTGTGTTAGGAGGGTTAGACAATAGCAGCATGTTAGGAATTTTGATTTCAGTTTTATTAAAAAAAAAAGGAAATTAAATTTTTGCTTTTCTCCACTTTTTGTTCCATCAGAGAATATCTGTAATTTAAAAAATATAATTGTATATCTGCGCAGTCAATTACCTAAAAAATTACTTTTTAAAATAACTTTACCTCAAAATGTGATAAAATGTGTGAGGACAAACATTTTCAATAATCTATATAAAAACATACATGTTGGTATATTTTACCAGAATGATAAATGTTCTGGTACCTATCTTTTTGTAAATCATCTGATTTCTATTAAACATTTCATCTGAAGAAAAACAAACTATGAGACAGATGTAGTGGTAAACCATAAACCCCACTTCTTTATTGAGTAACGAGCAAAATTTTGTTTCATAAATGTCTAAATTTAAACCCCTGAGAGTTTGCAGAGTCAGGTCACTTTGCTGAGTCAGGTCACTTTGCTGAGTCAGGTCACTTTGCTGAGTCAGGTCACTTTGCTGAGTCAGGTCATTTTGCTGAGTCAGGTCATTTTGCTGAGTCAGGTCATTTTGCAGAGTCAGGTCATTTTGCTGAGTCAGGTCACTTTGCTGAGTCAGGTCACTTTGCTGAGTCAGGTCACTTTGCTGAGTCAGGTCATTTTGCTGAGTCAGGTCACTTTGCTGAGTCAGGTCACTTTGCTGAGTCAGGTCATTTTGCAGAGTCAGGTCATTTTGCAGAGTCAGGTCATTTTGCTGAGTCAGGTCATTTTGCTGAGTCAGGTCACTTTGCTGAGTCAGGTCACTTTGCAGGATTCTTCCACCCATGATTCAGAAAGGAAGAAAGTTAGAAACAGTCAGAAAGACAAACCTGAGGTTTTCACAAGATTCAATTTGAAGGAAAATGATTAGATTAGGTGCGTTTCATAGAAGTTTGAGAAGGTATGCATGTTTATTTTTTAAATCAATATTTTTTTTTAGTGGCCATCTTGAAAGATGTAGTTGGTTGCCATAGCAACAATGGGGGCCCCTGTGGGGACTCCGGGGAAAGGACCACTGGAGCCGGCGATGTCGATGTGGGAGTAGGGCAGAGGCGCGTCCGAGTCGACTCCATGCTGTGGAGACATTCAGACAGAAGTCAGCGGTTCTGATCCAATGAGTGGCAGACCTGCAAGCGTTGAGTTTTTCTAACGACCTTGTCGAGGCCCGAGGTCATGATGAGGAAGGCCGCGGGGGTCTGATGTCCTCGCGGTGTGGCGGAGGACGGGAGGTTGTTGCTCTGCAGGATGTCCTCGTACTCAGACGGGCCCTTGTGGAACTCGTAATCCTCCCGCCTGATGTTGGAAATCTCAAACACGTCGCCCAGCACGTCTCCAGCTGCAGGAACGACAGTCCAGCTCAGGTTACAAAGAGCTGCTAACATGCAGAAACTTTCATTTTACTATCTTAATATGGTCCCAACAGTGACACCTAGTGGGCAACTAGATCTATTGCAGTTAAAAAGGACAACTTAAGGATCGTAATCAGCAAAATGTCAGATTTATGAATAAAGATGCACAAATTCAAGTTTTTCATTTCGGTATCTGAGATTTAGTGTCAGCTGATGCATCAAATCAACGCTGAACACATTAACTCGATTTAATCTCATTTTCAAATTTATCAATATTTGATACACTAGAACAAAAGATGGAGAAAAACAAACATGTCTGATCACAATGTCATCATAATTACTTTTTTTTTTTTAATTTAACATCAATAATTTATCAGAGACAAATCTTTTTTTAAATCATAGTAAGAATATTTTCTCAATACCTTTAAATCTAAATTTTCTCTGGACTCATTTAGAGATTTATTCACAAATTAACGTATTTCCATGTACATGCTTATTACATTAGTTTATTTATTATACATATAAACTATTAAATTCCATAAGGACAAATAAGTTTTTTCTCATTGGGGATCAATAAAGAAAATTCTATTTTCTTCTATAAACGTCGTCTTCTTTCAGTGAGTCACAGCCTCACCTTTCTGCCACTGAGCGGCGTTCCCGTTGCGGTGGGCCGGCCCGTTGTCCATGATGATCTACAACGATAACATTTATAAACGAGGAAAAACGTGAAAACTTCCAGTGAGTTTAGGTTTGTATTTCTCAGAGAACTCACTGAATAGTTTGGTCCCATGGCTCTGATGGCGTGACCAGTCAGAGTCGCAATCGTGAAGATATGCGGGGAAACTTCCTGCGCCGCCTGCAGAGACAAACCGTCACATTTACAGGAGATGGATCAGAGGAAACGACAGATCTGTGAGAGGGTTAACGCAGCGTTTCCAACCTTCTCCTTCATCTCACAGAGCAGATCCACCATCACCATACGGCCTTCTGCGTCTGTGTTTCCCACCCGGACTCTGCGACCGGCGCGGGAGACCACCAGCTCGTCTGCAACGTAGCAGTCTGAGAAAACGCACAGGAAGGTGGCAGGTGAGACCAGGGTGTGTTTTTATACATCAGTGGAGGTATGAAGAGGTCAACACTCACCTGAACCCACACTGTTCCTCACCATGGTCATCGCACCGAACACTTTCAGATGTCTCGGCTTCAGATGGGCTAAAATCTAAACGAGGTTAGATCTACGTCAAACAGAATCTGAATGGTGAGGTTCGTCTTTCGGTCCAATTTACTTTTTCTAAGTCATGCCTCAATTATTATCATTTTACAAATGCAAAAAAATTCAAGACAGTCAATCGCAACGTCTCAATTTATAGCCTTTATAGTTTGGTGAGAAGCTCTAGTGTCCAGATGCACCACATCCTAATGATCCAACATGGGGATCCTCAGAGCTCTGCTTCGGGCCCACTTCTGTTTTGTGATCAAAGATATATCTACATGGAAAGACAATTAGTTGCTTATCGTTAAGTGAATTGACTATTGAAGGCTATAGGAGATCTTTTTCTTCAAACTACTCCTTTTGATTGAAAATGTCAAATGAGATCATTAATAAATATTACAATAGCTTCAGTCAGTTTTAGGCAGATCATATACAGCTGTTCTGATCCATATTTGAAACTGTCTGAATATTTTAGAGTTTGAAAGTAAAAAAAACCAAAACAAAACAAAAAAAAAACTCCTGAACAAATATTTTAATATTTATACATTTATTTGTTGTCTTTTCTATGTCTCGCTGTTAAGTCAGTTGGTTTCTCTTAATTGCCCTCAGATTATCTGACCTGTGGATTAATTTACTTCTGTTCGGCGACAGATTGAAAGACGGATTATTCACCTGGAAGAATCCAGCAACAGCAGCAGCTCCACACTTGTCTCTGTGCATCCCGGCCATGAAGCCTCCGGCCTTTATGTCTGCTCCTCCTGTGTCGTAGGTGATGCCCTGCAAACAGAGAACAAGACGAGGAAATTACAAGTAGTATTTTTCTTTATCCCGTCATGACGGATCAGCAAACATTTTAATCTCTTACCTTTCCAACCAACATGAGTGTTTTCTGGATCGGTCCCTCTCCACAGTACTGCAGCTTGATGACTCTCGCCTGATGACGAGGTACATCTGGAGAGGTTTTTAATAGCATTGATTAGATCTGTAGGAAATCTGTGCTGAAAAGAAAAGTTGCCGTCTTACTGTTAGCGCAGCGGTTCACTGCAGCCAGACATGGATACTCCTTCTCCAGAGTGTTCACGTTGCTCAGCACTTCCACCTGGAAACACAAACCAGGTCAGCCTGAACAGCCAGCCATTTCTGCATTCATTAGTTTTATTGAAATTTTATGCAACAGACTAATTTGACTGGAAGGTCAATGAGAAATTGTTTTCAAAACAAACAAAAATGTATTATAAAACCCATAAATAAAACCCAACTGCTATCAATCATTTTGCTCTTGCAGTGTAATGCAACTTGTTTGTTGCAAAGACTTTTTTGTGATATAATAAACCAACAAACTGAACATTTTACAATGTTTCAGCTACTTTGCAAATACAGTATAGTAAAAATACTCATAAGATTTTTTTTTTTTCTAAAAAGTTCTACTCTGGTAAATATAACTTAGTTACTCCTTACATCTGCAATCAGGTAACCAAGTTACCTTCAGTAATAAAAATGCTGCATATATCAAACATGACGAGACTTTTGTTTTGTTTTGTTTTGCATGTCTGCAGGACTCGTCCCACCTTCACAGGGCTGTTCTTGAACAGTTCCTGGACGTATTCGGCCACGCGAGGAGCCGCCATGCGTTCAGGGTCAGAGCCGCCGATGTCGCGGTAGGCCAGTCTGAGGAGGCAAAACCAAACAGCTGCTGGGTTTTCAGCAACAGAACCTGATAAAACGGGTCAAACGGAGCGTCGGACCCACCTTCCACTCTCCAGAGCGTTGGCCAGCTCCACCAGTCGCCGGCCCTCGGCCTCCTGCGCCGCCCACAGCCCCAGAACGCACACCTTGTGGACCGACAACTTGATGTTCGCCTCTCGCACTTCAAGCGGCTTTTAAGGTGAGAAAACTTGTTACTAAAAGGCATTTGGAGTGATGTCAGAGCTCAAATACTGCATTATACGTTTTACATACATTAATCCAAATATAAAATAGAATTTGTGACATTATATTTTATATTTACAAAACATCAAGTTAAAACATTTTTTAATGTCTGAACTAAATTGAATGATTAAAGAATGGACTCTACAAAAATAAAAATATTTCCTGGTCACAAGAGTAAATAACTTCAAATCGTATCCATTTGGCTTTAGATCGTTTCTTTCCATTCAGTGACGTATAGAAGAAGTGAAATGTTTTGAGGCAGTTTAGTTTAGTTTGGGTGACATGAACTGTAACATTTAGCATGATATTTTGTGGTGATGTCATGAAAATGATAAAAACTATTTAAGAAAATATTCCTTCTCGTTTCAGATAACTGTATGGCTGTGACTGCATGGCTCAGCATTCGCAGCAACACTAAAATAATGTTCTTTAAAAACAGATTTCAGGATGCTACTTTAAAATAAATGATAATAAACTGCACACAGTAACTTAATTTAATTATATTTTTTATGTGGAATAAATAAGAGTAAAATTTCCGATAATTAAACTTTATTGTGGCGATAAATCAAAAATTCTTATGGTAAGAAATATTTCATGATAAATGCTCACTCCTTTAGGCAAGTTGTTTAAATTGTTGCAGCGTTTTAAGAACTGATAAAAAAATATTTGATGATGATATCGTGCATATAGGACAATTTTAGTTTTGCTCAACTACATGTTTTCAAACCAAACATGCATAAGGTTACTGCAAACATTTCTGTATGGCCACGTTCCCTGGTTTTGATCCAGATGAGGTGAAATGCCTCATGAAAGATTGATAAATGTGCAGCAAGCTCATGGAGTCTGAGGGCCGCACTGGGTTAACTCGAGGAATCTGAACTGTCCAACGTTTGTTTCGATGCACTGCAGGCCATTTCTTCATTCAGTCACAAATATGGATTTATTCCAATTAGATTGTCAGACTTCAAACTTTACAAGGAGAGTGACACAGACTGACCCGGCCAAACGATGCCAACAATCAACGGCACTGCAACACGATCAACAGAGACTATGACCACCCCAGCGCTCCCGCTTCCTCATACACACCAACCAGGCGCAGCCGTTACCTCCCCATTCAGACCTTGGTGGCAGTCACACCCTCATCAACACACCCAAGTGTCCAAACCATCAATCATTATTTAATTCATATGGCTCTTACAGTTGGCACACACACTTTCAAAGTAAACACGAAGTCACTCGACGCCACAGACTGGACGACTGGTGTGAAGGTACGGTATGAAAGCCTTTGTAGTTTCATGCTATAAAATATTCATAGGAATGTTTTATGGGAGACATTCCCATGACGAATGTTTCCCATTAAACAGTAGTTTCATACTGCAATCCTGAAGGGCAACTTTTAGATGCATCCTTCGTCCTAAATGCTGAAACTGCATCACTGGCATGCAGTCAAGCTCTACAGAGCCAATACTGGAGCCATGAGTGCTGAAGCAGAGAGACAGACCACTGCCTTAAGCTGCGTTCACCCAAATTCACCGCAGTTTGAACGGCCCAATTCCAATCTTCTCCTCCCCCCAACCCACCACACACACACACACACAAAAACCTCAATTTATGCCACTTCTGTATGTGAAACTAAATCTGATACGTATCCAATTGTTTGAAGCCTCCAGAACAACTGGAGACTATACAACTGTTGTTCACAGTCAGAACTACTGACGGTGAGCAGAAAACCAATGCATTTACCAACTTGACGGCAGTTTGCACCATTTTGTCACGCTCAGTGAGCACACATGAACCTTTTCTCACGCCAACGTTTCATGCTTTCGGTTCTCCGTCCCATCAAGTCAGCCTGTGATCGAGCTCATGTTTTCATAACCTTTCCATTTTGTTTGCATGCCAACTTTTACACCCACCTGTCAGAGAACCGTCAACGTTTACTGACAAGGCCAGTGATGGATTTCATTGTTGAGTGAGTTTTATAGCTTTCATCACTTTTTATATTGACAAATGTCTAATTGATGGCTAATCAAGCAAGTGAAACAGCTTGAACAACCTCTTTTAAATGCTACAGGTGTAGGGTGGGGCGGGGAACTAAAACAAGAGATCCAAAAGGTTTTATCATTTACCCTGTTGGAAAAAAATGACTAAACGATCTTTATTTTGCAGAAGAGTCTTCAGTTTCTCACCATGTAGAGGGCATGGAGGGCACCGAGTGCAGCCGCCAGGGCGTTGTCCTTGTAGTCCTTGTGAGGGGGGCAAACCAGCAGGGGGCGCTGCATGCCAGCTTTCAAGGCACTGAAAATGAGACCATGAGGATGAGCAAGGATCTGTGGGTAAAATGAAACATGGAGGAGAGGCCGCTGAGATGCTGTTGACTGACCGTTTGATGCCTTTGACCGCGGCGTCACTGAAACGTCTGACATCATCGTAGTCCCGGTTCACTGGGCCGGTAGAGGCAAATATCAGGCGGTTCCCGGGAAGACTGGGAACCTTGATGAGCACCACCTCATCCCCCAAACCGCTGTCCACCTAGAGGTCACGAAGAACAGCAGCAACTCTGATAGTGAGCTGAATAACAAAAGAAATTATGTCTCTTGAATTTTTCACATTTTATAGCAGACCTAAACTGGAGTGGAGATCCTTTGTAAGGATGCAGAGCATACTGGCATTAACGTTAACTGTCATTTTCAACTTGGACTTAGACTCGTACTTTATTGATCCCTTGGGAAGACTCCTTCAGGAAATTGAAATACTTATCAGTATCCATACCATAGGTAAAGCTGGGCCAATATTACAGCAGGACAATATGGGTGAAAAACACACAAAAGCAAAACTAAAAGGTTTGACCTGTCGCAGATTTTAGAAGACAATGATCACTGACGGTAGCTGCATTTCCATTACAAATGTGTCCAAAACTTTATTGATTATTGGAAATGCAGCTACTGAGCTCAAGGGAAGTTACAAAAAGATATCCAATAAATGTTCTCACTGAGTCTTCTGGCATTTATCAACTAGAAATAATTTTGGTAATTCTGAATGACCTGTAATTTGGTCTGATTTAACTTCAAAATGAGGTTAAAATGTGAATGTGTCTTTATTTAGTGTACGCAAAGTTTTGGTTTCAACTTTACACAAGGACCAATGTGTTGCACTAATAATGCAGACGGAACATTAACCCTCCACAAACCAGTTATGTGGCAGTTTGACTTTATAAGCCAGCAGGGATGCAAGTGCAGACACTTACAGAGCTGTAATCCTGCAGCGGCGCTTTCAGGCTCTCCAGCTCAGCAGGGAGAGTGTCATGGCTCTGGGTCACCAAGATGAGGCCATCAAAACTATAAGAACAAAACAAAAAAACCCAAGAAAATCAGCATCCAATTCTGTCTGAAACAGACAGAATAAGAGGAGTAGGACACTTCCAGATACTCACTTCTGGTTTTTGAGGTCGGCGGTCCACTCAGTGGGCTGGACGCTGGACAGAGAAACAGTGATGTCAGCAACACAACTAAATAACTAAGAGAGAGTGAAGCAACAGGTCTGGTTTAAAATATGGCTTAATGATAACAGCAAGAAGAAAAAAACTGTAGGACCTTTGAAACCTGCAGGTTAAAAAGAAAGAGAGCAGCCGATAAGACTCAAGAGGGTAAAATCTTATTTTTCTTGATGCAACATGCAAAGTAGGACAATAAAAAAAAAATCCTTGCACACTTTACAGCAGGGGTGGGCAACTCCAGGCCTCAAGGGTCGGTCTGCTGCAACTTTTAGATGTAGCTCTACTTCAACAGCACGGGGTCAAATAATGAGGTCATTAGCAGGACTCTGGAGAACCTGACTGCAGCTGTTGGATTCAAGTGTGTTGGACCAGGGAGACGTCCAAGAGTTGCAGGACCGGGATTGGCCAACTCTGCTTTATAGGGTGCAATCACCTCCTTTTGTAGAAGATTACGACTTTAAATCTGATGACAAACCAACTTTATCCAACACCAAACAGAAGGTTATAGTATCATATGACATACAGGAAGAGAAACTAAAACTGTCATGTATGCAGTTCTGAGACCCTTTAAAGGAAACTTAATCCAAATGAGTTTAAATCCCAAAAGCAGAAAATAAGTGTCAAGTTTCCCCAAACAGCTAAAAACCGCCTCTTGAATATTATCATGAAATAAATACATAGCGAGGTCAAATAAATGTCTAAATAAAGCAAAGTAGTTAATTAGGGAAAAATAAAGTCTTAAAAAGCCACACGTTTGCAGCTCAAAACGAGAATCAAAGCGTGAGACGAAACTTAAAACCGGACAAGAATCAGATCTGATCAATAAAAACCTGGAATCCCACCTGGTGCACATGTCTCTGTCCTCCTCCTGCAGCCTTCAATGTGAAACAGACAACAGGCTCCAGTTATCAGCAGCTCATTAATGGAACCGCTTCCTCTCTTGGTCACATGACCCGTGATGCCTTCACGGACTCAAACGAGTCCGCCGTTTGAAAAACGTCGTTGATTTTAAAACATTGAGTTATTACAACGCTACAGCACTGTATTTAATCTGAATATAAAACAAACATTGAGTTATCACACTGCTGTATCTAGTAAGAATATAAAAGGTAATATGTGCCATATTTTTCTGTGAAAATAATCGTTTTCAAATCAGTTTGCCCATAATTTAGCTAGAGGCGGGAAACTTCCGGTATAGGGTTTGCTGGGTAATGTAGTTTTACGTATTTCTTGACTAAACGCACACAGAATATATTACTATTTTAAATAACACTGACTGGTTTATCAGACGCAGTCAGTAAAATAGTTGAAGCGCCAATAAAGCGCGAATTGAAACATACAAATCACTTTTCACCAAGCTGACATTTTGGACTACAAAAGCTGACCGGAAGTAGCTGGTTGTAGCGTTTTCCAGCGCAGAACCGCGGAGGTGAGTGATTTTGTGGGCTGCAGACAGTGCAAAGGGCACAATCACTAGTTTGGCAACTAGTTGCTATGTTGCAATGGTCCATTGCTCCTGAGGAGGCATTTATAGGAAGCTTCTCGACCTGCAGGTAGGCAGCTGTGAAATATCGCGTTTTGGGTTCATTTAATCAAATCTAAGGAAGTTTTGTTCACATTTTAAATGCTGCAACAGATAAGTGGTTAGAACTCATTATTTTGGCATCCTTTGTAACGTGTCTGCACGGCGGTTACCAAGTCCTCCCTTGTTTCAGCATGCGATTGTTGATTCACCCTGTAAACAGAAATAAACCCCAGAACTGGAGGGCCATTGCCCTGCAACTTTTAGATGTGCCTCTGCTGCACCAAACCTGAATAGAATAATTAGGGCATTAAGGCTCTGGAGACCTGATCTACACAGGGAGGAGGTAATTAAGCCATTTCATTCCAGTGTTTTGTACCTGTGGCACATCCTGCAGGACTGGAGTTAAGACACCCCTGCTGTAAAGTTTGATAAGTCTGAAAAGTGTGGCGTGGTGCATTTGCTTTCGCACCGTCAGACTTGGTTGCAAATACAGCAGCTAGTATTTTTTTCTCTGTCAAATTTGGATGCACAACAAATAACATTTTTCTCTTGGCTCAACAGATAAAACTCTGAAATTGAGCAGAATTCAATTTTCAAGTTTTTTCTCAAATTCTTTTGGATTTACCTCAGTCTAAAAGATGAAAATCTTATGCGTTAAACCATAATTAGACAAAGTAGTATTCTCCTAAAGCCCATTAATTAGATATTCTATTTTGCAGATCAAACCTTAAGAAAATGAAGCTCACAACAGAGTCAATTGCTCTTATGCATGTTCCATTACATTTGTTAGCAGTTTGTGTTACATGAAGTTTTTCTCTTTTTAATAAATAGATGAGAATTCCCCTTCGCTCCTGTTGCATCTTCAGGAGTTTCATCTCTCAGAAACAAACCTTAGACACACAGAGGCGCGGCTTAAGCAGCGCAGCGATGCGCTTGGTGCAGTTTCGTTGCAGAGGTGACGGAGATGATGTCAGAGTGGGAGTGGAGCAAGGCGAGGGGCTGAATGTGGTGGATCTGAAGGCGTTCGACGCCTCCATGCCTTCAACCATCAGAGAGCTGCTGCAGCTGGGAGACAAAGGGCTGGCGTGTGCACAAAGGTCCCCAAACAGGATTCATTCATGCTTTTGCCTGTTTTTCTCCTTCTCTGATCTCAGTTTTTCTTCTTGCTGGCATCATAATATGAATGAATGTAACAAATAATCACTGAAATGAAATTCCTCCAATAAGTGCTCTTCCTCCTCAGAGCTCTGGCGTCTGGCCAGTTTGTGGTTGAAAGAGCAAACATCCAGCTGCTATCCCCCATCTTGGGCCCAGAGAAAGTGGTGTGTGTGGGCATGAACTACCGGGACCACTGTCTGGAGCAGAATGCCCCGATCCCTGAAGAACCCATCATCTTCAGCAAGTTCCCCAGTGCCATCACAGGTCCTTATGACGACATTATTCTGCCCCCAGAGAGCCAGGTAAGAAAAAGGAAATGTCTCCACTAAATGACTCTTAGAGCTGCTTTGAAAACACTGAATGAGGCTAAAGCAGTTTGAGAAACATTGTTGATTTTAAACAAAAATGTTTTTTTAAACCCCAAATTAAAGCACAAAATTTTATTGTTATTTACTGTAATTTAAGCATTAAATTAAATAGAATGTGTTGGGAAACAAAGAAGGAAATAATTAAATATTAAATGTCCAGTCAGGGCCTCAGATGTTTGGCTTACAAAAGTAAAGTTGTGTAGTTTCCTAACTTTAATAAAAAAATACTTTGAGTTGTACCTAACATTTTACATTTAAGATATAGATTAGAAAATACCAAACTAAAAAAAATTATGAAAAGTGTAAATTTGCATTTGCTGGATGATCTAATTGGTACCATTTCTGACCTGGGGCCACAATAAATTAATAGAAGGGCCACATTTAGACACTCTGGTCTAATTATATTCATAGCTTGATTACTGTAGAGTATAAACTAATTATCAAGTTGAGAGATTACATAATATTCAGCTCTGAAAATGCAAACTACCTGGAGAAATTAAAGTATGTTGGGTTAATAGTTATATATATATGACCACTAGGTGGCACTGTGGTATAAGTGCAGATCACTGAAAGCTTTAGTTGCTAAAGCAGCTTATTTTCAATAAAAATTTAGGAGTTGCATTATCATCAGTCATTAATTTCTGTATTCATGTATGGAACATAAAAAACTGTAAGGCTGTAATTTTACCGCTTAGTGATTTTATTCAAAAGACCAGATGAAAATGGCAGCAGGATTTCTTTGTTTTTCTTTGTCCTTATGAATCTGTTCACACAGACAAGCTCTGCTAATAATTTAAAACTTCAGCCTCTCAGGTGAAACATTTGTTTTATTTGTGCGAATCGAAGGCGATAGGTTATCGCAGCCTGTAAATCCTTCCCCCCGTTGCAGAGATAAAGTCTGGGAAGGAAAATCTAGAACCCTCCCTCACGACTGATGAGATCAGATTGAAGATGTTGTCACCACTCTCCTCATAGTTTCTCTTTTTTAGCAGCAACAGAGATCAGTCTTTTAAACTGGTGAATGGATGGCAGGAAGATGAACCATTTTCTCTCTGTTGGAGCTCCAGACTGATTCCGAAGAGTTTGCAGTTATAATTTCCTTTCACTATGATGAACTGACTGGCGAGAGCAGCTGGTTTGTTCTTCACCATGTTCATTTTCCAGATTGTGGATCATATTTTTTTAAGTCTGTACAAAAACAAGTATAGGTTTTAACTGATTGTAGAGTTTCCGTAAACCACAGAAGGTCAAAACAAAAAACAAAAAACAAAAACAAACATAGCTATATATACACATCCAATCTAATTTCTGGGCTAAGACCGAGACCGATTGACGTACCTTTGAAACATCAACAGGCTCGCTCTGCTTGTGGCTGATGATTCTGCTGCTCATTTCTACATCACCTGCAGTCATAATGTTGAAACCCTGTTGAACAGTCAACAGGGTTTCTAGGAGAATAAGAGAACAAAGCATGGAAAAAAATATTTATGCCTCATCCCATTGTTCCATCTAGCACTTCGTCGATCGATTCCTCGAACAGCAAATGTATTAATCATTAGAATAGGCTATAAGGTAAATGAGCGAGGTCCTTATGAACATAAATCAAACCAGTTGGATTATTTAACATATTGCATGGTTAATTTATTGCCCTTAAAATTGAAAAGTCACAGTAAAACATATGCATTTTTACTAAAAACAATTAAAATGTTTGTGATCCAAAAGTATTTTCAACTGAAAACGTTCGAACTGGACCAAATGAAAGTAATTCATGCTCAGAGCTGCTGTGCTGCATTAAATATTTCTGTATTGTTGGAGTCGGTGGCAGCAGGATGAGCAGGCGGTGTGTGGGCTCAGCCTCATCTTATAATCCGGTTAGATCTCTCTGCAGATGTCTGATGCTGTTGATGGGGATTAAATATTACCTGAACAGTTTTATCCACTGATTTCTCCTGACTTGGAGACAACCTTCCCAGTTTGTCATGTGCCAGTGAAGATAAATTATCACTCTCAGGGGTGAGGAGATTTTTTGGTTTCTTTTTCTTTTAAAAAAAAATGAAGTCCTGTCTGAGCTTTTCAACCCACGTCAGATGTGTGACTGCACATTTTTATTCTTCCATTTGGGTCTCTGCTGCACGAAGCCCCCTAGGGGACATGGAGGGTATCGTTTCTTTTGCATTCGCTCGCAATAACATATTGATCAGTTCAGGTGGCATAATTGCATACTGAAAGCCTTTCTTACGATAATCATCATGCTCTCTGCTATTATGTGAGGTTAAAATCTTGTTAGTTTATATATTTTCCTTTAGGGTAGAAATGCATAAACAAAACAGGAAAAAATGGACGTTCTTTCTTTCTATCCCTTCTAAGGTATAATCAGAAACTTTCTGTAAGAAGGAAAGAAGGAAAACATGCTGACTATTCCTGAGTTAGTCATCTGATTGCGTCTTTTTTGTTCAGAACTTTTTTTTTCATGTGCATCTCGAACTTACACAAACAGACATAAACATGCAGTGAATAAATTGATTTTCAATCTGTCTTTTTGAACCAAAGAGTTTTAAGTTTGGAAAATGAGCCGTTTCAAAAACCTTAAGAATGTTCTATCAAATCAGGAGGCGCTTGTTTGGCCGGTTTTGGTGGAGGCTGTGATTTTGCACAGCCAGCAGCAGTTCATTTGGATTTAAAGTGACAGGAACGCCTAAGAATAAAATAAATAAAGACGGCTCAAATTAGGCAGAACTGACCAGAACATCTCGTTATCTATAGATGGACATGTTTTGAATAGACCATAGACTTACCCTAACCTGTTTACGACTTCATCCTGGTCTTTTCTGTTACTGAAGGAGGTGGACTGGGAGGTGGAGTTGGCCTTTGTGATTGGACGAAGAGGAAAACACATCAAGGTGAGCCTCTCATCCCCGCTGACACGCCTTAGAGAAGCATTTCTGGTGAAACCATCATTATTCCTGCTGTGTTTCAGGAGGAAGACGCTCTGTCCCATGTGGCCGGGTTCGCCGTGGCGAATGACGTGAGCGCTCGCGACTGGCAGTTTAAGCGCAACGGGAAGCAGTGGCTGCTGTCGAAAACGTTTGACAGCTTCTGCCCTCTCGGACCCGCCCTCGTAACTATTGATGCTGTGAAAGGTGAAAGAGAATGAGGAGGAGGACAGAGGCAATCTGGTGAATCATGCAATTAACTGTGATTTTGGCTGTTTGCTGCGTCACTGAGTTAACGAGCTAAACTCAGAGGAAAGCGTGGCTCCTTGAATGCATACCGCATCGCTGACAAAAACAAAGTCATTATAGAGGAAAAAAATGAAATAATGTGCATTATTTCTCCATGTTTTTGCAAAAATCCAGCACAAACAAAATGAAAATACAAGTAAATCAGTGATTATATGAGCGATATTGACTTGACTTCTCATTTCCAGTAAGTTAAACGGATCAAATGCTCAGAAAACCCCCCACATGGGCCAAGTCTTAGGATTTGACACCAGTTTGTTTCTACATTAGTGATTTATAAGTTGACTGGATAAATGATAAAATGGGTTTTGTGGGTTAAAAAGACAGGAATGATATTAGCAAGCAGCAAACAGTGAGTTGTGGTCGTCTTAAATATATCAGAGGAGAAAACATTGCATGAGTTCAGCCTCTGAGCAACGTTGCCTTTTTTGGATGAACCATCAAAGTTCACCTAATGCTTTTCAAAGATATCTGCTTCTGTTTGCAGCCATTTCCATGTGACAGCAGCAGCAAACAGCTCATACAAACATTTGTTTGTAAAAGGGAAAAAAAGTGATAGCGCTAAGCTTTTTAAAGTCTTTGTAATCAATCAAATTAAAGTCCCGTCCCTTATAAATGTGTCTTTTACAAATGTCTTAATCAGGACATTTGCTTTGTTAATCTTTTTCTCCTCCAGATCCTCATAACTTGGGGATCCGCTGCCTGGTCAACGGGGACACTGTGCAGGACAGCAACACCAGCCAGATGATCTTTAAAACCGCAGCGCTGATTGCTTGGGTCTCAAAGTAAAGTCACAGATGCAATCTGCAGTTTTTGATTCCCGAATAGAGCACACAGTTTTGTCTTCACGTCTCTGAGCTCAAACCAAACGCTTCAGCAGAGAATTATCCAACACCGACTGGAACGTTTCACTCAAAACCAGCCAACCAACTGGAGCGCTGCTAATCTGATTTCTACTTTTTTGGACGGTGAAGCCTCATCCCTCCGTTGCTAGAGGGACAACGAATGTCCCGCTGGCAACTCGCTCACATTTCTGGCTCCTTTCAAATATACAACTGGCACTAATTATTTAAAAAGTCTTTATTGCCCAGATTAGAAAGTAAATCACGATTATCTGTTTGTTTTGCAACAGCTTAATTGTTTTTATAAAAGTTAAATGTTGTATCTTGCAGGTTTGTGACGTTAACTCCCGGAGACGTGTTCCTGACAGGAACTCCTCCCGGCGTGGGCGTTTTCAGGAACCCACCCGTCTTTCTTAAGGTGATTCATGCGTGACGCAAATAACAGCAGAGCTTTTCCTCCTGCAAATTTCCAGATCCATTCAATAAACTAATATATTCTATATTTTCTTTTATCACTAAAACACATTTGCACAGATTATGTTCATACAGATGGCTTTTATTTCTGTTTTTAGTTCAAAGACATTTAAAATTAGAATTAGACCAATAAAGAAACAGAAATGTTATGTGGGTTTAACTAAAAGTATATTTACTTTTTAACCTGATGAATGCAACTATTTAATTTACTGAATGTGACTGCATCTAATTCCCTTCTTCAACACACCTGATCAACTCTGTTAACGAGCCGTTCGTTTAATTCAGGTGTAGAAACTCACAGGAGGTTAACGCTCAACCTGAGGGAAGTTGCGCCAAATGTTTTATGCAGCAAAAATTCTCCTTTTGAGCTGTAATCATTTTAAAGATATTAATGAATGTTTCCAGAGGTCAAAGGTCAGCCAGCTGGTCCACGTTTACCATATATGGTGTCAATCTACTATGCTGCCTTTTTTTACAGCAACAATTTCTGTTTGTACAGTTTATAATCAACATTAAATGGAAATGAATTGCATTTTTTTTTCCCAACAAAATGTTTGTAGCGCAGTTGATTGACACCAAATTTGTAAATGTGGACCGGCTGGTTGACCTTTGACGACCTCTGGAAACATTTATTGATATATTTAAAGTATTAGCGGCACAAACAATATTTGCTGCACAAATATTTGACAGATTTAGTTTGATTTGCTGAACTTCACTCAGGTTATCCCTGGAGGACTGGAGTTGTTTTGTTTTCATTCTTTATTTTTACCCAGACATGGAAAATATCTAAATTCCAAACTTTTTCCAGACCGAATAAGAACACAGAAATATAAACCATTTGTATGAAACTTCATTGCATGCAGCTGTATAACAAAATGCGTCACAAGTTCTGCTGAAATTGAATAATGCGGTAAAAATAGCATGTAGGTATGCTTGGAGGCCTAAAAAAGCAGAGCTTTGTGAAAGGAACATCTTCCCACTTGGTGATTATGGGGGTGGACTCATCATGCTTTGGCTTGTTTTATAACCGTTGTCAAAGGAAAAGTTGTTACCGGAAGGCCAAAAAAAAAAATAATAAAAAATAGAAAAAATAAAAAATCCTGGCGAGTTATGAAAGCCCAAAGTGAAAATGTCAAAGTGCAGCTGACGTCAGGCTTGTTTAATGCAACTTTTCTGCACAACCTCAGTGTGAAAATAGAAAGCTGTTTCACTTCAGCTCTACTGTTCACAACAAAACATGTTTTTAATGAGTTCCTGAATCACAGAAAAGTGAATTTTAGCGTAGTGATTCATATCAGCCGCACTATGAGACATGCAGTTAGCGCAGAGCTTAGTTTATCTCCAAGTATCAAGCTTCATTCCTGTTAATAAATGGGCCAAAAAATAAAGAAGGGGATCAGACTCTGGCGTAGTACGGCTTTGTTAATGAGCAGATCTTACACTCGGCAGCATGATTCAATTTCTTTTGGAGCGGTTTGTGTTTTTCCTGCTTTCCCTTTCTGCATTCCTATGGGGTTTGACCATTCTTGGCCAAATGTTTAGGCAGACAAAAAGCTAATTAAGTAATAATGGCAACAGCAGAGTGTTCCTTAAAATAGATGTACTGTCTTCCAAATGACACACATAGCCTTGTAAAAGTATTCAGATGGGCCTGAACTTCTCCACATTTCAGTCTCCTCTGTTCTGGCTACTGTTATTTTAAATTCAAATAAGTTGCTGCTGGCCACGCCACCCAGCTCAACGTTTACACTCGCATGTGCAAATGGCTGCAAACAGATGCACACTGACATAACCGTCCATCTTTGAAAAGCAGAAATGGAGTCTTCTGAACAACCAACTAGAATGCAGCAAGTAGTTTCTGGATGGTAAGTCAAGAACAAAATGGTTGTCTTTTCCAGCAGCCATTATACAGTGCGTGCAGCGGTAAAACCAGCTTACCAAACGTGCTGGAGCTTGGCTTTGGCACCATGTCTGTCGATTGTTAATCAAGTTTTTTGAAACCGCTCATTTTCCAGACACCAAAAAAACGTTCAAAGCATTTTGGCTCTTTTTAGGAGTTGAGACTCAAATCAAAGTTTAAAAATGATGCAAACATTTAATTTAGCAAAATAAATCCACTTTCTTTATGTTACTTCTGAAGGCAGTTTGTGGCACTAGATTTTATAGTATATCAAAGTGAAATGAGCGTCATGCAAAAGCCCCACATACTTTAAAAATTTGATTTAAAAAACTATTTCTTTTATTTTAGTATCATGTGCTACTTTTATGATCTTTTGAATAAAATCACAATAAAAACAGGTTTGTGGTGGTAAAATAACTTGTGAATCTAGAGTTCAGGTGGTGTAAATATTTTTACAGAGCACCTTTACTTTTCTAAAAAAGAATATAACTGAAATAACCTTTATTGTCTGTCAAAGTGGGAAAATCATCAAAGTGATTCTAAAACCGTTGACTTTAGCAAGATGTAGGCTCTGTTGTCTTTTGGTTGTTGTGATGCTTGTTTAGGAAAAAGGAAGAAATAATTTAAACTGAACTAATATTTTACTGTTTCCTTTCAGAGAGGCGATATAGTGGAGTGCCAGATAGACCAGATCGGCTCCATCATCAACAAGGTGGTTTAAATTCTTCAGCAAGAAACTGAAAAATAAAAAAAACAAAACGATAAGTTAGTTGTTTTATTTGCAAGTGTTTAATAATAGGGAAAATGTGGTATTTTTACTACAACATGAAACAATGTAATTAGTGACTCACTAGCTGGAAAAGAGTCCATCAGCAGCCGCCCACTCATGATGTACAGCACAAACTGTGAACCTCTTGACTAACTTTAACACCCAAAAAAAAAAAAAAGTCAGGATGATAAACGCGTCATTTTTTCATTTTCAAATTTAGAGGATTTGCATGGCAGCTATTTTATGAAAAGGAAGATTGCACAAACTATAATGGAATTATAGTTTTTTTCAGCAGAACAAAGCAGAGATGTTACCTGAAGGAGAATTTATAATCGGTATTAAGAAGTTTGTATTGAATCTCCCTGCAGCTCAAAGCACAGAAGCCCTCTTTAATTACCACCCACAGGCAGCTGCAGGGGAACTAATAAATGGGTTTATCTGGTTCCAATAAATGCAGTTTGACATTTTTTTGAAGAGAAACATCTGACTAAAGACATTTTGTATAAAAATAATAAGATTTTTTTTGTGTGTGGAAAATTTAACTAAAATTAAGAGCTACATATCAAAGAAAGCAAGATTAGTCAAAATGGTGCAACAAAAATATTAAACATTATTAATATCAAACTGCTTAAGAGAATATTTATGAATGTTTTAATTGCTGCTCAGTGTCTCAGTTTAATTTTTTTTTTACAGCTGGTGAAACATTACAAATGGTTTAATTTGAGCTTCTTATGAGTGTTTGCAGCTGTCATATAATCATTAATAATTGGGTTTTATTACTTTCAGCTGCTCTTCAGTTTGATTTGTAATATTTTAACTTTATTTTTATTGAAATAAAATAAATATTATTAAAATTTTATTACTTGAAATGCAAACCAAGCAGAGGACCACAGAAAATAATCTAATGTGCCTATGTAATTTTTAAAATGTGGTTCTGAAACAATATTTTTCACCTGTAAAAGAACCAAATGTTGAAAATATATCACCGATAAATCTAAAAGATTCTTCATATTTTGAACCAAATTAACTTCAAATGTCAAACATAAATCAAGTCTCTTCTTGTTAATTTGTAAAATCTGCAAAAAGGTTTAAATATCAAAGAAGAAATTGACCACATTTAAAGCTGAATTTGTCAGAAGTGCCACCAGGTGGCGGTAAAGTTGCACCGTCACCCAGACGTGAGGTTTGTTCCTGATTTAAGGGTGAGAAGCAGTTGGACTCACTCTGCACTGTAAAAACAGTCAGCTGTACACAGCAAACATTAACGGCTGCCAGAAAAAACTCGCATCAAAGCGAGGAATCGATTGTTCTCCCCGTCATGATGTCCAGAGGTCTGCGTCAAAGAGTCTCCCCAGAGGCCTGACTCAGCGTGGATGATCTACATTCAGGGGCGAAAGATCCTCAGAAAAAAATGACTTGTCGAGAAATATCTTATATTCACCCTTAAAGAGCTCAGGCTGCTTGAACGCGACGTGAATCTAGGATGAACCAAGAACTTCTTTATTTAAAACATTTTACATATAAGGAACAGCTGATGGCAGGTTCTTCGTGATGCTTTCCTGCAGCTGAGAAATGGCTTAAAAGTAAATTTATAAAATGCAATTAAAATAAAGACAGCTGCTTCTAACTCAGAGTGACTATTTTAGTTAACAACAAAGGATTTTTCTGACAACTACACAGAACGAGGTCAGATTTTTTTCAGCAGAACAAAGCAGAGATGAGGCCTTGAGTCATTCTGCGCACTTAACATTAATTGTAGAGGTACTGTGAGATGAAGCGCTGCAGCTTCTCCCGGTTCTCTGACAACTGGAACAAAGGACTAACACCGAGGAAGATGTCTCCTGCCTGACGCGTCTGCAGAAGGACCTGAATTAAAAAACAATGAACGTAAAAATAAAAACGTTAGCGGACACTCCAGCTGCAGCCTCTGATTCATTACTCTGCTTTTAATCCTGCACAGGGTTAAAATACAATCTTTACCCAAAGAAACATGAAGAGAAACTGTTACTAATGGAAAAACTTTATTCTCGTAATTTTATTTATAATGAGAATATGAGAAATTTGTAAGAAAGGCGGAACACTATGAGAATAAATTCGACTATTTTGCTATGACTGGAGTATTGCAAGATTAAAGTCATAGTATTAAAAAAAAATTGAAATAATATGCTAATAATAAAGTCATGATTTGAAATCCAAGTCATTGTATTACGGGAATAAGGTCAAGATAAGAAGGTTGCATTATGACAATAAATTAAATGAAGAGAATAAGGCACATTATGATAAGAATATACTCAATATTATGAGAATAAAGAGTAAATAAAAGAATAAAGTGAATGAGAATACAAAAATAAAGTTTAAATAACAAGAATAAAGTTCTACTATAAAGTCATTACGAGAATAAAGTCATATTTTAAAAATATTTTTATATTACAAGATCAAAGTTTAAATAATAAAAAAATAAAGTCATATTCCAAGAATAAAATTGTTATGAGAAAAAAGTTGAAATAACATGAGAATAAGGTCATAAAATGAAGCAGTAATTTACGACTTTATTCTTATATTTCAACTTCATTCTGGTATGTATGACTTTATTCTCCTAATTTTATTTCATTTATTAGCATGGCCCTAATCCTCATAAAAAGCAAAGGAGAGATGGTGAATAAAACACAAGAACAATAAATGAGCAAATTTTGAAATAATGAGGCCAAAGGAGAGAGACAACAGTCAGGCTATCCTTTCTGTTCTATAAGCACCAGAAGCGTTTCTTCTTCTATGGTTTGACTCGCAGTTCTTTGATGCACCGCCTGTCCGACATCAGGGACGAGACGAGACAAGGGTGACTGATAACCTCAATAATAATCTGAATAATTGCCTCCAGGGACATTTGCACATATATGGGTCAATGATGCTCTATTTTTAAAGAAGGAGCTTCCAAAGTTACAGTCGAGACACTGATTCAGAGAACAATAAAGATTTATAACTCCACACTTTCTCCTAAAACCAATTAGTGTTTTTCTCCTGCAGGTTTAGTGTCGAATTTGATGCAGATTAGCCAGTCTGCCCCTCTGATTCCTCATCATTTGGAGCCGTTTTCAAAATATCAGCAGACGGAGACGCCAGATGCTCGTATTCTCATCAGCTAAAGAAAAAACAAATAAAAAAAACATTCTCTACCCTCCGTCTTGGACTGGATGGAAAACAACTTTTATTGCCTTTGAAAGCTGCAGAGCGATAATCCCTCCCAACAAACATGCAGAGTTTATCTGTTCTGATCAAAGTTTGAGTTTAATCCTCACTCCGCTGCGTGTGTGAGTTTTTCACATCAACACAACCCACAGGAAAAATGTCACCAGAGGAGTACCTTAAAAATAACTCTTTACTTGTTTAACCTCAGTCAAATACGCAGACTGTTTCCCTCGGTAAAATCAACAACGATTCTTAGCAAAATAAACACCTTCATAGCTGCAGCGCCAGACTCAGATGTCTTTATTTAGAGAAGATATTTTTAAATAAATTATATCCCAAAAATCAAAACTTCCTTATGGAGTGATGTAAAAAGCTTTACAGTCTTCTTTAAGTTTTTACCAAACTTAAATGTTTCAGATAAAAAAAACAATTCAAAGGTAATCTGAGTAAATACAAAATGTAAGCTTTGTAATTATGACAATATCAACAATTTTAATGGCCTTTTAATACAAGTTTTACCCATCCTGCAGTTTTTTGGCAATAAATTAATGTTTACATATGAGCAGCCCAAGCTAAGCTCCAGAACATTTGGTCAGCTGGTTTTGCAGCTGTTTGTACTAAATAGGGTGCTTAAAAAGACAAGTGTTTTATTTTTGACTGCCATCCAGACAGAAACCACTTCTTGTTGGTTGTACAGGAGGCTCTATTTTTGCTTTTCAAAGATGTACGGTTGTATAATTGTCCATCTGTCCACCTGTGTGACTGTAAATGTTGGGTTGGGGGGAGGGGGTGCAGTCAGAAGCAGATTATTTGGATTTAAAGTGACAAGAGGCCCTACAACAGCTCATTCTGGAAGGAAATCTCATTATCTAAAAATGATCTTTGTGCAAAAAATGTAATGAACATATTTTCTATAAACGGTAGACTCATTGTAACCTGTTCAAGGAAGCATAATGGTCACCTTTAGTATGTAAATAAACATGGTGTAGTTGTGTTTTTCAATAGGAGAAATGATTTTATGTGAAGAGAAAAAGAAATTCTGATGTTGTATAATATTTGTGTCATATCACTTATCCTGTTACGTACTTTCCTCAAACTTTTAAAAACCATAGGAACACAGAAACTCAAAAGAAAGTGAAAAATTAGATTCCCTACATTTCTCCAAACCTTGAAAGCACCACAACAAAATTTAACCATTTCAAGGATTTCTGCACTGATATATGAACCTAGTCTGAACCAATGGACGGTTGAATTGCACCTGAAGCCTCAGTGCTGAGTGGAGCTGTAATTCTGAGCCGACAGATTTACACACACACACACACACACACACACACACACACACACACACACACACACACACACACACACACACACACACACACACACACACACACACACAGAGAGGGAGGCTGTCACTCACCCCGAGGTCTATTAGTGTTCTAACTGCAGTGTGTGCCGCCTCCTCTGAGCAGCTTTCTGTGAGATACAGCACAAAGGCACACATGAATCAAAAGAACAGGCACATATCCAATATAGAAAATGAGGTCGGGATAACAGAACAAAGCCTCTACCAGTGGGACTGTAATTTTTACACTACGTATTATTGAGGGCTGCCATTTGGATAGATTCTCGCTGCCTTGTGTGTTATTTCTGAAATGCGAGAATGTGGAGAGTGAGTGTGGGGGCTGCGGTGGCTTTCCTCTTTGGCCTCTGCAGATTTGTTAGAACTCAGTGAATCAGTGGGAAAAGGCGAGGTGACAAGCTTTTAAGGTTATGACACAAGAAAGAGGATCTCAGTGTGGGTGTGTGT